CTCTGCTGAATTTGTTTATTTGCTCTAGAAGTCTTCTGTGAAGCTTCTTTGATCTTCCAAGTATAGGAACATATTATCTACCAATAGTGGTATTTGATTTCTTCCTTTCCTATTCGTATCTCTTTTATTTCCTTCTCTTGTCTAATTGTTCTGCATAAAATTTCAAGTACTATATTGAATAAGCATGTGAAGAATAAACATCCTTCTCTTGTTGCTGATTTTAAAGAATATGCTTTCCATTTTTTCCCATTTACTATGACATGGGCTTTGTTTTATGGTATAGAGACTTTATGATGTTCAGGTCAGTTCCTTCTATCCCTAGTTTCTTCAGTGTTTTTATCATGAATTGGTTATAAATTTTGTTAAAGGTTTTCTCTACATCTATCAAGATGATTATGTGATTTTTGTCTTAAATTCTATTTATGTGGTAAATTACATTTTTTGATCTGCATATTGAACTGTCTTTGCATCCTGGAATGAAATCAACTTGATCATGATGTATAATCTCCTTAATGTGTTGTTGAATATGATTTTTATTGATGCATTTTAATTATACATAATAATAGGTTTCATTATACCATATTTGTGCAGGCACAAAACATAATTTGATCAGTCTCATTTTCTAATACCACCTCTTTCCTTCCTCTCTTACCTCCCTCACCCACTTGCTCTAATCTACTGATCTTCATTCTATTATCATTATTATTACTTTAATTAGTACATTATAGTTATATACATATGTATGTGATTAATTGTGGTATATGGATATACCATAATTTGATTTTGTACCCCAATATTTTCCAATACTCTCCTTTCCTTCCTTCTCTCAATCCTCTTCCTCTACCCTATTGGTCTGCTTCCTAATTTTGCAAGATCCCTTCCTTTTTTTTTTTTCTCTCCATCTAGCTTCCACATGTGAGAGAAAACATACAACTGTTGATTTGCAGAGTCTGGCTTTTGGCTTTTGGCTTCTTTCTCTCTTTCTTATTTATTTATTTTTTCTTGTTGTTGTTGTTGTTGTTCTGCTATTGAACCCAGGGACATTTTACCAATGAACTACATTCCCAGTTATTTTTTATTATTAGACAAGCTGTCACTAATTTACTTAGAGCCTTGCTAAGTTGCTGAGGCTTGCCTCAAACATACTATCTTCTGTTCTCAGCCTGCTGAGTCACTGGGATTATAAGTGTGCAAAACTACACCAGATTTGTAGCTTATTTCATTTAGCATGATATTCTCTAGTTTCATCCATTAACCACCAAATGATATCATTTCATTCTTTTTTTGTGACTGAATAAAGTTCCATTGTGTGTGTGTGTGTCTGTGTCCCATTTTCTTTATCCATTCTTCTTTTGACCAGCACTAGGCTAATTCTATAACTTGTGATTTGTACTGCTATAAACACTAGTAGGCATGTATCACCACAGTATGCTGATTTTAGTTCTTTTGAATAAATACCAAGGAATTGGACAGGTGAGTCATACGGTAGTTCAAGTCCTACTTTTTTGAGGGATTTACTTACTGCTTTCTAAAGTGATTGTACTAATTTTCATCCAGTGTATAAGTGTGTCTTTTCATACCACATCCCCCAAGGAATTATTATTTTTATTCTTGGTGATGACCATTCTAATGGGGGGTGAGATGAAATCTCTGGTGGAGTTTTGATTTGCATTTCTAAGGATGTTGAACATTCATATATTTGTTGACCATTTGTATATCTTCTTTTGAGAAATATCTTTTTATTTCATTTTCCCAATTATTGATTAGACTATTTTTGTTCTTAAGTTTTTTCAGTTCTTTATGTGTTCTGGATGTAAATCTGTCAGAAGAGCAGCTATCAAAGATTTTCTCCCTTTGGATAGGTGCCCTCTTCACATCCTTATTTCCTTTGATGTGCAGAAGCTTTCTAATTGGATGCCATCTCAATTATTGATTATTGGTTTTGTGAATTAGCACCCACATATTGGAAAATACATTTGACCTGTGGTTCTTTGGGATTGGCTTATTTTGCTTAGCATGATATTCTCCAGCTTCATCCATTAATTGGCAAATGCCATAATTTCATTCTTTAAGGTTTGAGTAATATTTCATTGTGAGTATATACCACACATTTTCTTTTTCCATCCAACTTTTGAAGGGCACCTAGGTTGGTTCCCTGGCTTGGCTATTGTGAATTGAGCTGCTATACACATTAATTGATATGGGTGCATCACTATACTATGACGATCTTAAGTCCTCTGGTTATACACTGAGGAATGGGATAACTGGGTCAATTTAAGGTTCCATTCCAAGTTTTCTAAGGAATCACTGTACTGTTTTCCATAGGAGTTGTGCCAATTTGCAGTCCCACCAGCAATGTATGAGTGCACCTTTATCCCCACATCCTTATCAACATTAATTGTTGCTTGTACTCTTGATAATTGCCATTCTGAGTGGAATGAGATGAAATTTCAGTGTAGTTTTGATTTGCATTTCTCAAATTGCTATAGATGTTGAACATTTTTCATGTATTTGTTGATTGATTGTATTTCTTTTTCTGTGGAGTGTCTGCTCATTTCCTTAGTCCATTTATTGATTGGGTTATTTGTTTTATTGGTGTTAAGTTTTTTGAGTTCTTTATATATACTGGAAATTAATGCTCTATCTGAAGTGCAGGCGGTAAAGATTTTTTTCCCATTTTGTAGGCTCTGTCTTCATGTTATTGATTATTTCCTTTGCTGTAAAGCAGCTTTTTAAATATTGAATGAAAATGGTTTCAGTGCTCCAATTAAAAGATATAGACTAGCAGAGTGGATTAAAAAACAAGATCCAACTATATGTTGTTTGCAAAAGACTCATTTTAAAGGTAAAAACAGCCACAGACCGAATGAGAAAAGATGGATAATGATATTACATGCAAATGGGGCCCCAAAGTTGCTACTTTTATATCTTACAAAGCATATATCAAACAAAAAATAATCAGAGAATAATGATGATGCTCACATGAAAACTGAAATTGAACATTTATCTCTTGTCATATACAAAAATTAACTGAAAATGGATTAAAAGACTTTAAAATAAGACTTGAAGCTGAAACTACTAGGGAAAGAAAACATTGGGGAAAGCTCCTTAACAGTGGTGTGGACAATGGTAATGACCACAAAAGCACAGATAAGAACAGCAAAAATAAACAAATGGGATCACATCAAATTAAGAAGCTTCTGTACTGCCACAGAAATAATTAGCAACATGAAAAGACAACCTACAGAATGAGAGAAAATATTTGCAAAATATCCATCTGATAAATGATTATATAAGGAACTCAACTTAGTAGCAAGAATACTTTATTAAAAATGGGCAAGGATATTTCTCAAAAGAAGCATACAGATAGCCAACAAGTTCATGTAGAGGTGTTCAATATTACTAATTATCAGAAATACAAATTAAAACCACAATGAGATGTCACCTCACACTTATGAGAATGACTATATCAAAACGACAAAAAAAAAAACATGTTGTCAAGGATGCGGAGAAATGGAAACTTTGGACAGTGCTGTTGGTATTGTTAATTAATAGAGGAACTGTGGGAAGAATCAGTATAAAAAATTAGAACTACCATATGATCCAGTAATCCTACTTCTAGATATATCTTCAAAGGAAATGAAATCAGTATGTCAAAGAGATACCTGCACTCCCAAGTTCATTGCAACTGTTGTTCACAACAGCCAAGAAATGCAATCAACTTAAGTGTCCATCAACATATGAATGGAAAAAGAAAATGTAATGTGTATATTTTTGTGTATGCATACACATATATACATATATACCCATATAATGTAATGGAATATTATTCAGCCTTACAAAAGAAATAATTACTGTCATTTGCAATAACACAGATGAACCTAGGAGACATTATGCTAAGTGAAATATGTCAGGCCCCAAAAGACAATTACTGCATGTTTTAACTTACATGTAGAATTTTTAAAAAAAAGTGGAACTCTTAGTTTCAGAGAATACAGTGATGATTGCCAGAGGCTTATAGGGGGAGTAGGAGAAATGGGTTAAAGAATAGTTTTGGTTAGACAGAATGAATAAATTCTGGAGATCTATTGGACAGCATGGTGAATCTAGTTAATGTATATTTGCTGAGAATAGGTCTTAAAATTCCTTACCACAAAAACAAAGCATTATAAAACCTATATGAGGTAATGGATGTGTTAGTTAGTTTTACTTTGGTAAAAATTTCACAGTATATATATATATATCAAAACATTATATTGGCGCACACCTGAATTCCAGGGGCTCAGGAAGCTGAGACAGGAGAATCATGAGTTCAAAGCCAGCCTCAGCAACAGTGAGGTGCTTAGTAGCTCAGTGAGACCCGTCTCTAAATAAAATACAAAATAAGGCTGGAGATGTGACTCAGTGGCCAAGTGCCCCTGAGTTCAATCCCTGGTACTCAAAAAAAAATAAAACCTCACATTATATTGTGTACTATAAATATGTACATTTTTGTCAGTTATACCTCAATAAAGCTGGAAAAAAATAAAATTAAGAGAACTGCCTCATATCTTTCCTCCTCCCTCTCACCAACATACTGAGAAACTACGTCAGCTCCAAAGGGACTAAAATGACTCTAAGTTTAAACATAATGTGTGATTCTGAATTTGATTATTTTCTGTAGAGCACATCATTAGTTTAAGTGATAAAACTCGAATAGAGTGAGATTAGATAAAAACAAAATATTTATGCCAATTTCCTGATTCTGGTGTTATATTGTTATTTTGTAGGAGAATGTATTTGTATTTTTTTAAATATATGCTAAAGTATTCAAAGATGATGGGCCATAAACAACTTACTTTCAAATGATTCAAGAAAAAAATTTCTTATAAAAGCTCTAGTAGTTTTTCTGAAGTATTTTTTCTTACTTTTCTTTAAAAATGCTGTGAAATAAATCTCAAGTTTAGCTCATTGATTTTGAACTCTATTATTTAAATTTATTAAAAATGATTTAATTGTTTCCTCTCCATTGGCAGGATTATTGGCCCAAAGAAATCCACTTAATAGAAGATAAATATGTATATGATATGAACAGAATAAAAGAAGATAGTTCATTTACTTCAATTTATACACATCTATTGAAAAATGTCCCTCAAATATTTGAAGCAGACATGAACGTGGAGTTAAGATTAAGGGAATGTTCACTTCTTTTGCAAGACCATGCATCCAAAATATTTGAATGGGACAAAGTTATTTGCAAAACAAGTAAGCCTTATTTTTTTAAATAAGTAAAGTTATGGTATATGTGTCTGGGTGTCTATTAGTCTATCTTCTGCCTCTATATGTGTTCTCATAAAGAATGAAATACAAGAAGAATATCTTAAAATATAAAAGATATCTTAAAATATCTTAAAACAAGAATATATATTTTAAAACCTCTTCATTTTAAAATGATTCAGTATAGATTTTCAGCTAAACACAAACATGTAGTTTCAAAGATAGGGTTACTAGGACAACAGTTATTAACCTTGTAAAGTTAGAGTGTAGGTAGTAAAATATCAGGGAAACATGGAAACAAGATTTTATCAACTGATATTGAAAGTCACAAGCAAATCCTCAAGAGTCAGGATTAAAGAACATAAATTTCTAAAGCCGAACAGTAAAAAAGGGTAAGAGTTGATTACATGGGCTAGGTTAGGTTTTATAGGAGTATTCAGAATATGGTGAGGAATAAATGAAGGAGTAAAAAGCATTCTGCAAGTAATGATAATGATAATTTTTCCTTTTCAGGATTTGTGTACTTTTCTTAATTATGTTGATTAATACTTCCAGAATAATTTTAAGTATTAATGGTGGTTCTTATTCTTGATTTAATGAAACTTTGCCATATAGAAGTCTTGAAAACAATGATACTGGTTATCTTCTATTTTAAATAAATAGTTATAATGTTTAGATATTTAGTATTCTTCTTTGACTTTAGGTTTTTCAAATTCTGAGAACATTTAAATATACTATTAAATTCACTATTTTAAGTTTTCATGTTGTTTTAAATTGTAAAATTTTATCATTTTTTGAATTCATACAAATTATATATATATATATACCTTATATGTATATGATATGCAGATTATGTGTGGGATATATATATACACACATATATGAATATACATATATACAATATCTATACACAGTATATATACAGACATACATATGAAGCTTATGTGTGTGTGTATATATATATATTCATAAATTCTTTTCTTAAATAAAATATCTACAAGTAAAAGAAAAATAGGAACATATCTCTTCAAATATTCTTCCTGGTTTAAAAATAATAATTATAAATATATACCTATATATTCATGGTTCTCAGTATATAAATATCAGAGTTTATATTTAAGTCTAAGTATCTAATTTCAAAGCCATAACCTTTCTATCGGCCATACACCATTGTGCATAGTGCTTTATTTAAGGTAATCATGAAATAACCAAATCTAAGTCACTGAGCTGTTTGAAAACATGGACTTGTTCAGTAGAGATTGATTGAGATAAAAATTTAGATAGAGATAAGAGCCATAGACATGTTAGGTGGAATATGATATTTCAGAAAAACTAAAGAAAACAAAAGATATGTAATAGTTCTAGTTATTCACTAAGAGTATAACTAGTATTATGTTTATGAAAATCATTAGTTGATCTCAGTGAATAGTTTCATATAATTTCTTTAAACTATTGAAATTTTTCATTTCTAAAGGATATATTTACATATGTTTTGAATTCTGTTTTTAAGGTTATGAGAAATTGGAAAGACATAAGGCATTTCTAGAGAAGTACCATACACACAAAAAGATAATGGTATGATATTTATGTTTTTATCATTTTTCAAAAATTGTATTTTCACAGAAAATATAAACATTGTAATTTCACAGATAAGCACTAATAATATTTAAAAATTATTCTTTTTAGTCTTTGGTTATCTAACAATGATGTCTGTGTTTTAAGTAACTAGCTGGACTCTTCTTTTCACATTCAATTAATTACTGTTGGCCTCTTCACATTACAAATTATTTGAAGATTCATTTAATGTATAAATATTCCATCCTTTGGTTATTTAGCAATTTGTAATATACTTACTAGTATATTAGCCCTCTTCCTTTAGAAAAAAATAAAAATTTTTATGACCATTATATTTGTCAAATTTAAAAGTCTTCTTGAGATTTTGATTAAAATTATAATATACTTTTGAATTACTTATAGATAGTCCATAGTCCTTTTCAAAACTATGGTTTAAAAGCTGGATGTGGGGGCTGGGGATGTGGCTCAAGCGGTAGCACGCTCGCCTGGCATGCGTGCAGCCCGGGTTCGATCCTCAGCACCACATACCAACAAAGATGTTGTGTCCGCCGAGAACTAAAAAATAAATATTAAAAATTCTCTCT